TCCCTAATATACTGCTTACATCGGGAAGGGGAGGGTGACAGCCACCAGCATCTCTCAGGGCACTGAAAGCCTCTCCCCCATGCCAGTGGCTAGGGTGTGACACAGCCGAAAAAGGCTGTGACAAAGGTTTTCCATGGGGCCCAAAACCAAAGCTATCTGGTCTGGGAAGAAACGCAGGCTTAAATTTTCATGCAAAACCTCCAGTGTGATTATTAAGTGTCTGAAACTTAGCAGGGCCAAACATCTCACTAAAACTCTTGTGCAAATGGCTTTAACAAGGCATTTCTTGGCCCCCTTGTTCTCCAGACTCTCCTCCTCCCGGCCACAGGACCACGGTAGCGGTGAACTGTGTGTTCTATTTGCAGTGACGCTGTGCAATCGAGCCAGGCTAGCTCGGGCCGCGGCCTGGCGGGAGAGCACCCTCAGTGTGCGCAGCAGCTGCTCAGGCTATTCCACCCTCTCCCATCTCACTGCTTAAGGCATTTCTTGGCCCCCTTGTTCTCCAGACTCTCCTCCTCCCGGCCACAGGACCACGGTAGCGGTGAACTGTGTGTTCTATTTGCAGTGACGCTGTGCAATCGAGCCAGGCTAGCTCGGGCCGCGGCCTGGCGGGAGAGCACCCTCAGTGTGCGCAGCAGCTGCTCAGGCTATTCCACCCTCTCCCATCTCACTGCTTGTTTTGTCCAACGGTTTTCGTTCAGTCCCAGTGAAGGCAAAGTCACAGGAGAGGGAGGCAGGTGGGTCCATTCAGGAGGTCTCTGTCATTTACAAACACCCTTCTCACATAAACCAGAGGTAGTTATCAGCCAAGTAACTAACTGCTAGTTCATTAATCAGCTTATCTTTTGAGAACAGGGTTTGGGTGCACAGCCAACTCCTTTAAATTCACGTCTGTCCCAAGGATGCCCCAGCATCCCAGTTTTTGGTTTTAAGGCAAGCATTGGCAAGGCTTTTTTTCCCTTTCAGTTATTACATGTGTTTGTGTGTATAAAAACCCTGGTAAATAACCAGGTTACATTCAAGATGTGCCACTGGAAGTTGATCTGAGACCCTCAGGTGGCAGCAGAAGCCTTCATCCCGCCAAGATGCCCATCGCTCACCAGCCGTGTCTTCCATGGGATCTCTGACTCGGCACTAGCAGGAAATGCGTAGCAGGCTGAACAACGAAGCACAGGCAATTACTGAAAACAGGTGTTCTCCATACATTTCTCCTGGTTTCAAAATGAAAAAGAAAGTTTAAAAACAAGTAAAAAAGTGAAAAGATACATGCATGGATTGTTGGACTTTAAAAATTTAAATAAATGGACTTGGAAGGAGGGAAAAAAAAGACACTGAAGCCTTGCGCAGCGAGGTGTTTCTCTGCACAGCTAGAGAGAGGCACAGAGCCAGCCCGTAACAAAGTCAATCGATTTAGACATAGACTCTTCAAAACAAACAGGCTGCCCGCAGTGAAGTTCTGAGCTATTCCAAGGAACGCTGAAGCACACAAACATTTTCAGTCCGCCTTCTCCACAGAATCGCTTCAGCCGAGCCTTACACCAGGTGGGGGATGCTTTGGTGGGGCGAGAGAGGGTGGGGCCACACGCTCTCCCAAACGCACGACCCTCCTCAGGGGAGTGGGACGAGGTGACGGCTGTGCGGTTGAGCCGGAGCGACTCCAGGCGTGCCCGCTCCTAGGCCGGGTCAGCCGTGGGTGGAAGCTTTTCCGCATGCGGCAAATTTGAAACACCAGCTGGGGCATCGCTGTGAACGGCGTTTTGCAGTATCTAGGATGGACAAGCAGGTGAGAGAGTCTGTCCTTTTTGAAACAAACCCTTTTTATTAAAAAAAAAAAAAAATTGCAATTGAAATGATGACAGTTTAATTGACTCAATTTAAATCATTATTGACCACTACTCCTAGAGCAGTTCTAGTGATGGGAAAGGTCATAAGCTGACGGGAAAGGTCATAAGCAGGCCACAGTTGCTGAAGCTTTAAGCAAAGCCAAACCACCGAAATGGGTGAAGTCCCCGAAGGGAAGAACGCGTCAGAAAGCAAAGCTGTCTGGAACCGCTGACCTCACCACCGCCAGCGGGCAGCCGTCCCACGAACACAAAGAAACGTTTACTTGGTTTCAGTTCATTCCGATAACTGCATTCCACGTGCACTGTCCGTTCACGTTTAAACCAACCGCCATACGGAAGACGTCCCTACTCGATGCGCAGAAAGCGGCGTTAAGGTGGTAAGATGCGGCAGTGTTAAAATCCTGCGGGATTAGAACCTCCTAGGAATAACCAGGAATACTTTGTTTCATCACCACGTTTAAGCAAGACGTGTCCTAGCCAATTTATTTCTGCAGCATGTTAAAGATATTGCCAACTCATTAGAAGAATTCTAACCGACTGCTTTTCTGCAAGTCATTTGAATTCCAACTTCCATCGGAATAAATCTTGCTGCAAATCATGAACAAATGAACCACCATCTCATAAGAACAACTTTCACTATTTCTTAACGTAGGAGACATCAAATTTTAAGAGCCCCAATCAAATTGTCAGGCTGGCAGTGGCTTTAAAACACACTCACGTGCCTTTAAAGAATGGGAAAAAAGTGGCAGCCACCCTTTCTGTCCTTAGGGAGTTGCCTACTGCGCTCCCCACACGGTTCACCTTCACAAAACACGTGCCACATACCTAAGAGAGCTGTGAGAAAGGTGGAGATCCCAGAGGTTCTCTGGCAAGCGATGATGGGAGCAGCTCGGGACGCAGTGGCTGGTCACACATGTGTGGGGCCTGCGGGCCCCTGCGTTACTCACCAGCCCCGTGGAGAGCCAGAGGCTGCAGCCCACCTGCGGGACACGCGGCTCAACAGCTCACGAACAACAGGTTGGCCACCCTCGATATGACCTATCTCCAAGGGGCACTAAGGATGGTCAAACGTGGCTTAAAGGCTGCATGAAATTGTGTGGAAAAAACACGGATTTTGTTACCAACAGAGAGGGGAAGAAACCTTTTAGGGAGGGACAGCACGGAAACATGGCCTAGAGCACAAAATCAAGGCAGAAATTGATGATCTGACCACAGCTGTCCCACTCATCCACCTAAACCGTAACGAAATGGGCAATTCAAAGCAACGTAGCCCACTGTTGTCTTATCCCGTTAAGCTTCATATATTTTATTTACACGTAATCAGTAAACTTCCTATGGCATGTCCCAGATTTTAGAAGGCACAAGCAGCCGGCGAACGATACGCAACGAAAATGCTGCACTGCTGCTTTTCCACCTAAGCGCAAATAACATCCGCAGAATTTGGGAATAAGCCCCAGTAATGGGGAAGTGGCATCAGAGAAATGCCTCCCTGCTTACTCCGATCTTAAGCTGGGGAAAAGTCAGGAGCAGTATTAGCATTAATTAGACTGCCAACTGCCACGCAGATCTCCTGCACCAAAGTGTAAAATCCCCAATTGGTCCAAGCTTGTTAGAACAGAACATTTTCGCCATCAGAGAAGGAACAGGGGGAAAAAAAAAAAAACAACCCAGGAAGAGGAAAAAAAAAAAGGGAGAGCAATTGTGGCTTTATGTCAAGTGTATTTCATAACTGTCTGTTAAAATATGCACCCACATCATAAAACGCTGAAAAACCCAAGTGTTTTTAAATGTATGTACAATAATGCAAAAATATGCCTAAATATGTATCCAATGCAAAAAAATAAACCATTTAATAAAATCTCCCTTCAAATTTCCCCTTGCTCTTCAACACCTTAAAAAAAAAAATACGGAAAGAGCTCCTTAAACAAACAGGAGTTAAAACACAAACTAACTGACAGACAAAAGCAGTGCAAAGCAGACACTTTAAAGTGGAGAGGCATCCAATCCAGCTTCCCATTCCTCTGGATGACACCACAACCACAGCCCCACTTTTCCTATGCCAGCTGAATTTCGGGTTTAAAGAGTCAACCTGGTGGCCAAGCTGTAAGAGGCTGCCTGTGGCACTCATTTTCCATACACGCAAAAAAAAGTTAATGATAATCCAAGCACCCTTTAAACCCCCTTAAAGAGGGGTGAATTTCACCCCAGGTAAACACTGCACGTTCGGTATAACCCTGCCAAGCACAGAGATCCCATCCAACAAACCACAGGAGCTAAAGTCTGCCTGGACAACTGTGGTGGGAGAGGGAGTTCTGCTGCTTCACAGTTGTTCAGTCACCTTTCTGCATTCTCTAGGAAACTGCAACCGGGTCTGGTCTTGCAGCTTCAGCAAGTCCGGTATCTCGTATCTGCAACGTTGCAATTTCACTGGTAACTGGGCTGCCAAGTATTTCTGAAGACCAGGTCTGAATGTCCGAGTTAAATGGGACACTTGCACAAGGTAACGCCGACCTGCTGCCTCTCTGGGTGTGTTCAGGTGACTGATGTATATCCTTTACCTTGAGTACAGTTCGTTGCATGTGAAACGCAGTCCTTTGCAAAAGCAATCTGAAGAGGTTTCTGTATTCCTCCCTATAGGAAAGGTGGCAGGAATTGAAGCTCTGTTTAAAAAAACCTGCTTGTAAGGCACTGGCGCAGCAAGGTTTGTGACGAATACGGTTTCGTGATTTCTCTTTTCCGGCTGTTTAAAAGTGAGTCCATTAAACCCACCATAAATAGCAATAAAAAGACACTAGAAAAGTCCCAAATCAATCAACTTGGCATTGAAACTTAATTTACGACAGTCCCACTTCAGTGCACACACAAGCTCCTCCATGTGTTTTTAAACTCACTGTTGGCTCATGCTCACCCTCTGTACAAAAGTCCCGCCCCCCCAAGTCATGATATATCTTCTACAAACCGATTTTTAGATGACATCATAAAGTTACACATTAAACTTACAGATGATAGACAGGAACATATATTGGCTTACCCACTGTACATACCTACTTAAATCTTTAAAAGAATAAGAATATACATAAAATATACACTTAATTCACAAAGCAGAACGGCCCTCAACATCTGCTATTTTGCAGGGCTATGCATTTCTTCTGTTAAAATTCCACACATGGAACTATCTCTGTGCCAGCTCCTCTTCATAAGCAACAGGATCACTCCAAGGGAAATTAGTTCTTCGTGTATACGTAACGGAAGCTTAGCCTCTAGTCATCACTGTCACTCCCAGACTCACTCAACTGCAAGTCATTTCCTATGGAAAACAAAACCCAACAAAACCAAACAAGTGGGTAGGCGTCAATTCACATTTCATGGCAATCAAACCAAAGCACGGTCACATTTACACTGGAAGATTTAAATAAGAATAACACAAGAAATGAATGCAAACGGCATCTGTCATTTCATGCTCCCTGGGCCCAAGACCATTAAGAGCTGCTTGGGGCTAATGCTGGGTGGGATCCAGGCCAAACCCAGCGTTCTTGGCTCCCCAGTCACCAAAGCTGCTCCCCCCGGTCGGAGAGCAGCACCCCCCACACTAGCAGCTGCGGAAGGCCTTCCACTGCCTCCACCCAGCCAAGCTCCCGAATATGGCTCTGTGACAAGGCACTGAGGAATTCCCTGGCTTTCTCAACCCTTTTAAAATAGCTGGGGTTTTTGTTTGTTTATTTTAAGGCCATTTGGGTAGACAAGGCGAGGCCTCCACACGTCAATAAACCAAAAGGAATGTTAAAGCCATCACGGCTCAAGGCTATCTGCTGAACTAAGCTGACACACGCTGTGCCAGTAAAGGCCCCTCTCCGAAGCGCAAGGAGGGATCAGACAAAAGGAGGCCAGGATACAGACCAAACCTACAGTCTCAAAGAGCACCTGTGATTTGGTGAGGTGGAGGGGATAAAAGAGGGCAAGAATCATGCTTGTGTTCTGGTAACCAAACCTAGCTCTTCCAGAATTCTCTCTGTCCCAAACACCCATCCCCTGCAGAGCAGCTATGCAATGGCTATGCCCTGGATTTCTTCATCTCCTCTCCCATTTTATGAAAACTTGGGTTAGGGGTAATTCTCCCCATGTAGATGGTCACCAGTGACTCGACTACTCAAGGACGTATTAATCCTTGGCACAAATGTTTAAATCCAAAAGCAAAAATCATTGCCTGAAAAAAGTGCCCCAATTCTCCTGAAGTCAGAGGTTTCTTGACATTAAATGACCCATGCTGTATTGTCATGGCCCAGGAGAAGCAGGGAAGAGAATCATAGAATCACAGACTGGTTTGGGTTGGAAGGGACCTTACAGACCATCCAGTTCCAACCCCCCTGCCATGGGCAGGGACACCTTCCACTAGACCAGGTTGCTCAAAGCCTCATCCAGCCTCGCCTTGAACACTTCCAGGGATGGGGCATCCACAGTTTCTCTGGGCAACCTGTTCCAGTGCCTCACCACCCTCTCTGGGAAGAACTTCTTCCTGATATCCAATCTAAACCTCCCCACTTTCAGTTTAAACCCGTTACCAGGTTGTGAGAGCCTGCTCACGACCAGAAACAGGGAAATGGAAAGAGTCCTGCTGACCTTGTTGAACTTCGGATTACACCTAGGCATTCATTACTGACAGAAGGTCTGACAGGCCCCTCCAGTTTTCCAGCTGGCCTCTTCAGTACTGTCTGTGTAATACACTTGTCCCCTGGAAGCTGTAAACGCTGCATTTATCTGCATTTAAACTCCACCAGCTCCCTATGTGTGGGTGCTGAAAGACGTGGAAAAACATCCCTCAGGAGGAATCAAGAACAGTTCGTGCTAAGTGCTGGTGTCTTGTAAATGCAACGTTTTAACTCCACCGAGTTAGAATATACCTGATGTAGCAGACAGAAAGAGCAACACAGATGTACACCATCTCCCCAGAGAGACTCTCGTGGAGTGAGTTTGTACTGATTCAATGCTTGCGAACACCATAGCTCTGATATTTTAACTAAAAACATGGCACGGCAAATTTCCCTTCAAAACGTGAAAATGCAGCTGAGACGAACACAGTGTGGAGTAAATACTCTGAAAAAGCAATACAGCGAACAAAGACCGCAGAGACTGTGCGGTTATGATCGCAGGACAGCCTTGGGTCATTCACCATTCTTTGCAGACCTTTAACTGACACATGTGACAACCCCACTATTTATGTCTAACCTGTGTTTTCCCACTAAAGTAATTCCCATCCTCCTGCACGGCCGCTTCGCTACCCACCCACTCCACCCAGAGGCCTGACTCAGGGCTCAGCATGGTCCCTGGGGGCCATTGCACCGACGTCCACCGGCTCGAGACCAAACTAAAGTGATCTCCACACCTTCAGACAGGTCTCAGCCTCCTGTTCAAAACACCTGCCCACATGTTTCAGCCAGTGCATCTCCCTGGGACTACTATTTGGCACACTGCACTTTGTGGAGTTAGCCTAACATGCTAAGAAAACGAGCAGTGTCAAGCAGCTTCCCACAGCGAGAAGACACAAGCTTTTACTTACGGAGCGTGTTCATGAGCTGATTGCTTCCTTGCGGCCTTCCTGTTGTTATACTGCTGGTGCGGTGGCTGGGAAGGGGAAACATGTGCTGGCTCTTCCCCCTCACTGCTGGAGCTTTCATCTTCACTCCCAGATGAGCTTTCTGAATCCGATGAGCTGCTTCCACTGCTGCTGCTCATCTGCTCAATAATTTCAACCTCTGCTCTCAGCTCTGAAATAAAAGGAAATTCATCTGGTTGAAACCATAAACAGGGCCCCATGGAATTTGGGAAAAGAATGTGAAAATGCAATATTCAATTGTCACATATAATTTATCACATCAAAGTATCTCACATGAAAAAGAGAAAGAGAGGAAGGAAAATCAAAAAATCCTGAAAGCTTTTTTACTTAGTTGTTGTAGCTAAATTTAAAGAAGCAACAGCATAGGTTATTATCATAAAACCTTCACTTCTGCTACTATTATAATTTGTATACTTTACATTCCTGAAAGCACTTTCTGCTTCGTTTCTTTTGACGCGTTATATGCTGTACGTACAAACTAAGCACACTTCCCGGTTGAGTTTTACAGTCCAACAGCCAGCCCAGTTTTTAAAAGCATCTTAACGTGGAAGAACCTAAATCGTTACATGTCAGTGACATTCAGGCTTTTGGCAAACACAAAAAGGGGGAGGAGGGGTGGAAATAGGCACATGATCAGAACAGAAGCTGCCTCGACCAGATAACGTTTGAAACTGTTCTAGTGCAAAGCCTCACGACTCATTTTAAACAAACTTCAGAAGCAGATGGATGGTATCAGGTAACTTTGCAGTGGGGCAGTTGAGAAAGGAGTGGTAGTAGTACCGTAACGTGCTACAGAACTTACAAGTACCCAGGAAAATAGAGAGACTACTCTGAAACTGGGAGGTTATTCAAGCCAGGCACATCCCACTTCAGGGTTTCCAATGCAAAGAAATACTGGCATTCCATGACAGCACCACAACAGCTGCACAAGCAACCGCTGGTGGTGGCTGAACGACCGGTAACTAACCGGCTATTAAGATAAGGCACCCCAAATCATGCCAAATTGTTAAATTTGTCCTAATTATAGGTGGCCTAACATTATTGGAGCAGAGTTTTCTTGTATCCACCCACAAAGTCAAGTACCTAGAACTAGTCAGTTCACCTAGGTAGGTTTCCATGGCAGAACAATATTCACACGTGTTACGCCTAGGATGCGAAACCCTCAGAATTTAGGTTTTTGTTGTGCTAGCAGTTCTATACTGAGCTAGAACTCAGTGATTGCCCTGGAGAAGTCACAGGCTAACGGGACAAGAATGAAAGAAGGGAGAGGCGAGGTATTTATTATCTCTACCTGACAAATGGAGAACTGATGCCAGGAGCAATTCACCTGAGGTCAGATGTGTGTCAGAGTGAGACGAAGCCCAGTTCCTTAGCTGGGGACATCCTTGTGTATGGCATAACCAGACTATGTAAAATGAGTCTTATGTGTAAAAATGGCACAATTTTAATGCTTCTTATCTTCAGCCCCAGCAGGCGTAAGTCTGAGAAACTGGAACTCTTCCATTTTTTTAGTAAGACCCATTTTCCTTGGGCTGCTTAACACTACAGAGTAACAGCCTCCATATTATTTGCTGGAGAGAGTTCCTCTAGCTCAGCATGTATTAGTTTTAGAAATTAACTTTTCTTTTGCCAGTATTAAACCTGCTATTTTGCAATTTCAAAGTTCAGACCTCAATTTCAAACATTATAGTTATACTGAATTAGAGGCAAGGAAGGTGGATTGAAAGGGAACAACCATATAACTAACTCCAGCTGGGTATTAAAGGATAGTGGGGTTGTTCCTGTAACTTACTTCCTAAATCTTGATCCCTGGCTAGACCACCTGTGCTCTCTGTACTTTATTTGTATGCCAGGTAAAACTTACTCTTTCATCTTGAAGACACAACATAAGAGACCACTGGAAGAAGGAAGAAGAATACATGATTAGGCCAGCAGAAGATACTACTTTGCACTGTAATGTCTTTTTCACTTCCTCCCTCTCAATGCAGTCTTGCAGGTTTTAAAAATCCATTTCATGCCTGAAGTCTGATACACAGACAAATGAGCACTTGTAAGTCACTATTCTTAGCTTACCCATATCAAGGATTTCAAATGGTAATGATTCTCAGTGTCCAAGGCTAAGAAATTCATAGGGGAAAACTAAAGGACAGGTAACAGAAATAAGGGTTCTTTCCCTTTAAAAAGCCCAGATTTACTTTTTTCCTAGCTTAATGGTGTAAAAGTCACACATACCTCTAGTGATGATTTTATAGTGATAACAATAATACATTGTCAGAATATTCTGGATTGTAGCAAGCACAATCTCCTACAGAGCACAGTCCACACTGCAAAAAGATTCAAGAAAAGTCCAATAAAGGACAAGTGTCCGAGAATGACACACGGACGCTTACAGAGCTACAGGCTATGGCTGAAATGGAGGTGTGGTGGCAAACGGGCCGAAAAGAACACAGCAGCCTGGAAAGCAGCATATAGGGTAGTGTGAAGATGGTGAAGCAACTAAGAGGCATTGGTAGTGAAAGGGAAAAGAACTAGGGGAAAAACCCACATCTAAACCAGAAGTTTGAACTCGATACAGTAGGTGAAGAGGTAGCCGAAGGAAGTGATGCAGCCTGACAAATGGGAAAGGAAGATTAGCCTGGCTAATTTTAAACAGAACGAGACACTAGTGTCAGATTGAAAAGTGAGGGTTTTCTGCTGGAGGGGCCAAAAACTAAGAGCCTAAAGCGTTTTGGTTATGAGGAGGGAAAAGGAGAATGCCTTGGCAGAAGCGGTAAGGCCCACTACGTTGAACACAGGCAGAGAAAGCAAAGCAGCACCAGTATCATAGAATCATAGAATGGTTAGAGTTGGAAGGGACCTTAAAGATCATCTAGTTCCAACCCCCCTGCCATGGGCAGGGACACCTTGCACTAGACCAGGTTGCTCAAAGCCACATCCAGTCTGGCCTTGAAGACATCCAGGGATGGGGCATCCACAACATTTCTGGGCAACCTGTTCCAGTGCCTCACTACCCTCTCTGTGAAGAATTTCTTCCTGATATCTAATCTAAACCTCCCTGATTTCAATTTATACCCATTACCCCTCGTCCTATCACTACAGGCTCTTGTAAAACGTCCTCTCCCAGTACCCTTGTAGGCCCCCTTCAGATACTGGAAAGCTGCAATGAGGTCTCCCCAGAGCCTCCTCTGCTCCAGGCTGAACAAGCCCAGTTCTCGCAGCCTTTCGTCATAGGAGAGGTGCTCCAGCCCTCTGATCATCTTCGAGGCCCTCCTCTGGACTCGCTCCAAGTGGTCAATATCACAAGCTCCGAGGACAGGGAAGTTAAGGGTGTTAGCAGGAACAGTGGCCACTGGCAGAAACTTGCTCCGAGCCCATCTTCTAGTCAACTTTTGCCTCACAGGCGGCCAGCTTCCCTTCAGGCCTCTCCTGCCTCTTAACTCCTTGAGGCCAGAATTCTAAAGATCTCATCTCTGCAGATGAGAGTAGTTGTTCTCACCAATGTTATGGTGGCTGCTGCATCGCTAAGAGTCTGTCAGGCAGAACTCCAGCAAGGACCACTAAGGAAGCGTGTTCAAAACCCTCGTGTCGCCTTGTCACAGATATCGTGGCTAAGCCAACGATGACACAAAAGCCTTGTAGAAAAAACACACATGCTTTAAAATTGTCCAACTTCACATCTTCCTATTTGCCTGTTATGCTTAGGTGCAGTTATAGGTACCGAAGCCTTGGCTCAACGTTTCCTTGCGGTGCCTCCAATTATAAGAGTCGCATGTGTACGTGTGGTGGAGTCGCCATCCCTGGAGGTGTTCAGGGAACGTGTAGACGTGGTGCTTGAGGACATGGTCGAGTGGGTACGGGAGTGTTGTGGTGCTGGTTGGACTAGATGGTCTTACAGGTCTTTTCCAACCTCGGTGATTCTGTGTATATATGTGCTAAGCTGAACAACAAAACAGTCAGCCCTTTCCTAGAATTTTTTGCACCCTAAGATCAAATGTCTCACGCTGATGTACCTTTAAGGTTTAAAGCCTGACAAGAGTCAGGATATATAACAGCAGTTACGTTTGAGAAAGCTTTTCCACATAGCATAGTTTTGAATGCTTGCCTTAAATTGAGCGTACATCATCTAAAAAGGCTGACGTGGCTAGGGGAACCTGATCTTTTGCACATTTCATGTTACAACTGTAGACTTTCTTTCAAGAAAACAAAACGGCTTACTGTTTTATACTGGCAGTCAATTGAGAGGAAAAAACTCAAGGTCAGAAATCATTAGACAAACAGAAAAGCCTTTCTCAACGGGGCTGTCTTCCGTATACATTCAGTATCAAATGTCTTAATTTCTTCCCAGAATTGTATCTAAGGGTTCTTACTTCCTCTCTCAATTCCAATAGGCTACACAGAATTTTTAACTAAACCCCTAACCCTGGCCTGCAAGAATACCCAGGACTTGTGGAAAGAAAGTAATTCAGCCTTAGGGAGGATAAGGGTGCACGCCCATAGCAGAACAGTGGTATGCAAGGTGGAAAGGAATCAACCTGGTAGGGGCACTTGCGGAGTATGAGGAGCCCGCAGCTAGAAGGGACAGTATTTTACACTGAAGTGCTGCATTTCAGCTAAACAAGATCATCTCAGATTTTCAAGCACTAAATTTACAGTCTCCAAACCACCAACACGTTTCTGTGGGTTTTTTTTTTCAAGTATGGCATGCTGTAATTATGTCAATGTTATTAAAAACATTTCTATTGTGGTCAAATACGCCTGATAAACGCCGATTATTTCATGCACATAAATGGCTGCATTGTGGTTTCTGTGTGCAAATGTTCGCCGCTTAACGAAATGGCATCAGATGTAGCCAAATATTCAAAAGAACAAGCTCTTACTCTCTCTTTTGCTCCCTTCAGGCAGGAGGACAACACGAAAGCTTGCAGGGGAAAAGATTCCTCTGATGCAGGACCCTAGTCACAGCCTCCCAAAGGCTGCTCTGCATGAAGGAAAGGACCGGTTAAAGTCCCACATACTCCTGACTCTGTCCTCAGGCACTGTTGTTGGCAGCTGTGTAAGGGGACAGAGACCTGACACCTCATTTCCCAGCTCACCTGTAAGGGAGCAATGGGAACACTCAGCTGAGGGTACCAGGGGAAAGCAGAAACTTGCACAGAGGTTAATCTAAAACTGTTGCTACACATCACAAGGGCTGTGTGTCCTACCACACCTTAAGCAGAGCATACTAAGAGCAACAGAGTGCCATGGCACCAGAGGTGCTTTCAATCACCTCCTCTGGGGACTGTTCCGTGTCCATTAAAGAAAAAACACAGAATTTCAGCTTTATGTTTATCTTGCCTTTGTCCAAAGGAGACACTTCACCCAAAAGAAAAGCTACTGCTTGAATGGAAACAACAGTCTCTTTGAACTTCCCTATCTTTGTTCATAAAAAAAGGGAAGTAACCAGGGCTAAGGACCCTCTCACAGCTTTTACAGTTAAGTTTTATTAATTATTTTCATTGTATGATGGTGCCATTTTAGTTCTGCCTGTCCCAGTAGGTTCTTAGGACATAAATGGTTTAGCAATGCTGACACTCTAGATCATCAATGCTGGAAACAAGTTATAAAGAGCATATACAGTAACCAAAAACCACCCTGCTCAGGTATTTGTGCTCTCTCTTTCTGGGCCTTGAATGACTCTAGATAACACCAACTTAAAGTCCTATTTTTAGTACAGGTCAGGTGTTCTTTTGCTTGACTTTGGAAACAAAACTCTGCAGGTTATTTACTTTGAGGTACTGTCCACCAAAAGACGATCAGGTGACAGAAATATTACAAAGACAGTTCTAAACAATGTGACTTGTATTTTAGACCACTAGAAAATTATCTTTGTAGAACAGATGTCACACTAGACAAATGTAATTGCTTTACTATAACATGACCTTTATATACGTTCAGCAATTTGTAAAAGAGTACCCCAATGGTTAAGTAACATTATACCCCACAAGAAAAGACATTTCAAATTCACAACTGATTAAATGTTTAAATTAATGTATCACCTGTTATCTTTCTCCTTACCTATTACACAGAAAATAAAAATGGCAATGCAGCTAAGGGAACTGTAGCTAACAGACTTTCAGACGTTGATTCTGTCTGCTGACCAGCATCCAGGTATTGAAAATACTACTGCTGCCAAAGAGTGAGACCAGTCAGCACCTATGCAAACACACAGACAGCTCAGCAGTAAAAATGTCACCTAGTGATCACCACAAACTGAAAAAATACGCTGCTAAGTAACTAACATAGTCTGGGCAATTAACATAGGCTAAGTCTACAGGAAAAATAGCTACATGGGACAGAGAAAAAGAGAAAGAAGAAGAATCCCAGGAAAAAAAATACAAGACAGAAAGAGCAATCTTTAAATAAAATTGCATCTGGTGCCAGACAAGAAACACAAGAGAACCAAATAAAAATTTAAAGTCTTCCTCATTCTGATGGTGTTTTCCACAGCAAAAACACGTATGACACCTGTATGAAAGGAAGGATGTGGGCAACGGAAGTGCTCACTGCTCACAGCAAAACATTGAGCCAAAGCGTTGCTTGAGCAGGAGACCAAGTTGAGCCAGACATCCCTTCAAGGTACTTTAATAGTAAGTATTGAAACTATACGCAGAAGCTGTGGAGGACTGGTTATGGTAAAGGGGAAGCTGCAGGCTTGTTCACTCTCTCATACCTCCCCTACTGGCAAGGCTTAGCACGGCACGAATGCCATGATGGGGACATGGCACACAGCCCTTCCATCCCACTGGCAAACAGCTCCAACCTTACTCAGTGCAGGAATAACTTCCATTCAAGTTACTCGATTCCAGAACTAGATCTTGAACCATTAGCTTATGTTGTTGTGGTTGTTGCCCAAGATACCCGTCCAACTCATCTTGCACTCAGCTGCAGATTTCCGAATTTATGCTTACTTTGTCTTCTTTTCAGAACAGAGCAATAGTTTGGGAGAGAGAAAACTATCCACCAAGAGGTCGTTCTCTCATGCCAGAGAAACATCTATGCTGGCAGAAGAGAATAAAGCACAAGGACAGGCTGGGCAGAGATTGGATAGAGAGCAGCTCTGAGGAGAAGGACTTGGGGGTACCGGGGGATGCAAAGCTGGACATGAGCCGGCAGTGTGCGCTGGCAGCCCAGAAAGCCAACCGTATCCTGGGCTGTATCAGGAGAAGTGTGGCCAGCAGGTCGAGGGAGGGGATTTTGCCCCTCTGCTCTGCTCGCCTGAGACCCCACCTGGAGTGTTGTGCACAGCTCTAGGCAGCTCTGAGGAGAAGGACTTGGGGGTACCGGGGGATGCAAAGCTGGACATGAGCCGGCAGTGTGCGCTGGCAGCCCAGAAAGCCAACCGTATCCTGGGCTGTATCAGGAGAAGTGTGGCCAGCAGGTCGAGGGAGGGGATTTTGCCCCTCTGCTCTGCTCGCCTGAGACCCCACCTGGAGTGTTGTGCACAGCTCTAGGGCCCTCAACATAAAAAGGATATCAACCTGCTGGAGTGAGTCCAGAGGAGGTCACGAAGATGCTCAGAGGGCTGGAGCACCTCTGCTATGGGGACAGGCTGAGAGAGTTGGGTTTGTTCAG